ACTCAGTAAGACAGTGCCTATAAAGTGTTTCACATGGCACTTGGGATGCAGTAAGAGCTCAGTAATTTTAAAATCCCAAATCATGAGGCGTATTGCCTGGTGTCAGTGCTTCATCTGGTGACACTTTTGTCAGCAGAGCCTGTAACTTGGATAGGTGGTACTAGCCCCAATAGGCAGTGAGGAAGAATTTTTCTCAGCTCTTGGAGTGACAGCTCAAACAGACAAAGGGCAGCATTTCTATCTTTATAGCCCTTTCATGCCAGGGACATTTCTGAGTGAAGTATGTATTAAGCAGGTTCCTCTGGGAAAGCCCAACAATTCTAGTACTGCAAATTTTCACATCATGGTCCCACACTAGAGGAACTCAGACCCAGCATTCCTTATTTTTCACAATTCTGACTGGGAAATAGTAAAGTAAGAATGCTGTTTCTAACACACCTTGTCCTGTGGGCTCACTCAGGGGCTGCAGATGCATCCCCAGAAATAGCTATTGGGTTACCCAGTCCTTAAAGGTTCTACTCATTACATGCATCTCTATGTACTAGGCAAGTATCAGGACTCGTTTTTCTGTTTAATCTAGAAGCACTATTTGAAAAAGAAGGAGGGGCTTAGTCCTTGGGATCCTTGGGCTGAAATGCTTAATAAATAATAAATACACAAGGAAGCCCTTTCCTGTTGGGTATTAATCTCAACTATCGGTCAATAGGTTGAAGACAGAATTTTCACCCATCTATATATGTCATGTGTTATGAAATTATTACTAACTTTTGTCTCTTTTCCATGTAGATCTAAAAGTAATCTTGAGTCTTCATTCTAATTAAATTTTCTAAGATTTCAACCCTTCATGTCAGAAACACCTCCTCTACACACACTTCTCTCCCTCTCCTCATCCCCTTTTCAGGAAGTTTCCTGGTTTGAGGTCAGACAACATTGTAATTAATTCACCCCAGAGGACCTGTGTACTTTTTATATAAGCCGAAAGCTTTGACAAGGTTTGTTGATACTCAGACACGCACATGCACATCCACACACATGCATGCATGTGTGCACACTTCCCCACACAGTCACATGCAAACACACATACATGCACAAAATCTGTAACCAACAAGGTTTGATCCAGGCCTTCTTTCAAAAAGAGAAAGCAGTTAAAACAGCTGGGTATGCCAGAAACCACATAATTAGACAAACTGGATTTAAGAGTAAGGATTCAACTGAGCCAGTGAATGAGAAGTTGAACGAAACATTGTGATTGCTTCTCCAGTCCCTGGGAAAAGCAGAATATGTGGATATGTGTGCTTTGGGCAAATAAAAAGCAATTACTGGCCGTTATGGAGTGTAGCTGACATTTCAAATGGGTTAAGCTATTGAATGTCTGATAGGGGGCTGCTCTGAGGGATAAAATGTTGTCCAGGGCTAAAAGAGGAGAAACTTTAAGAATAGATGTGCTTGAAAGGAAGAAGTTCTGTTTTAGTGTTATATTTTATAAAAGAAAAAGGGCAGTTTAAAAAGTATATTATGCAATTTTAAATTATATGTTATGTAATTGTTCTATAGATTTACAAAAGTTTCAGAGAATTTAAGTATCAAAGATAAATCATATATTACAAATTTCCTTCTAACAGTGGACTTTCCACACAAGGCAGATATTTTCTAGAAAAAATAATGGAGTTTAAGAATTCTTTTACTGAGAATTCTCAAACCAGTGCCTAAACCTTTAAGATAAATCCCATAGGACTTAGAAACTAAAACTAAATTACTACTTTTCTTATTTGCAAATAATCCTGTTTACAAATATGCCTCAAGAAAGCTGAATGAAAAGTATTCTTCTCTTTTAACCATCTCCCTGAGATAAACAGGACAAAAAAGTAATTGCCTATGACAGCCCTATTTTCTTAAAGAAAATATCCTGGATTAATGGAAGAAAAAAATACCTTGGTCCCCAAGACATCAATTCTTATAGCATTTTGGGCCTGTCTCTTAGCATGCAATTTAAATATATATCCTTAGCAATAAAATAACTTCTTGTCTATTGACACTGCTTAACCATTAAAACCTCTATCAGCAGTCTTGTAATTGGCTTGATAGAGTTTACAAAATCAAGTGTTTTGGGGCTTAGGGAGATGGCTCCAGTGAGAAGAACATTTGCTCTGTAAACAATGGAGATCTGGTTCTTAATACCCAGCACCTACAAAATTTCAGGGCACACCTGTGTGTACCTGGAATTCCAGGACTGGGGCTATGAGGATGGATGGATGCTAAGGGCCCCTCTCTTCTGGAAACCCTAGCTGAAATGGTGAGCTTCAGATTTAGTGACAGACCATGTCTCAAGGCAAGTCAAGAGCAATAGAGCAAGGCATCTGGTACTCATTCTCCTCTGGCCCCCAGATACACAGGCACAAGGTATACATCTATACAGTCAACAAGTATTCAACACGCAAAGACTTGGAACACTTCTAATCTGTAAAGTATATGCTAAAAAGTCACAAATGCAAAGGTCAGCAGAAAATTTGTTTCTTCAACCTTAGTCAAACATAGTAAGAGATATAGTAACACATTAGAAAGTCAACAACAGTGTCATGTACTTGGTGGTTGTATATTAGTATCCATCATTTATTATAAAGACAAGGAAATGCACCCTAGCCACCCTCCCCTACTATCCCCCCACCCCAATTCCATATGTAGGGGAATGCCATCCAGTTGGGGTCATGTAGCTCTGACAGGTCATGTGGAGTAGGGACTAGGGCTTCTCTCCTGTCTCTAGGTTAAGGCAGTTATCCCTCCATGGGGGATGTGTTCACAAAGTCCTTTTGTGCACCAGGGATACATCCTGGTTCCACTGTCTGAGGTCCCTTAGACTGCTCAGTCCTTCTGGCTGAGACCCATGTTCAGGGGGGGCCTGAGTCAGTCCCATGCTGGCTTCCCAGCTATCAGTCTGGTGGCCCGTTAGCTCCTCCTTGTTCAGGTAAGCTGTCTCTATGTGTTTCTTCAACCTGGTCTTGTCCTCTCCATCTGCACCTGGGTTCTAGTTCGACTCAGTGTTTATGTATGGGTGTTTGATTCTGTTTCCAACAGGCATTAGTTGAGGGCTCCGTGGATATGTTAGTTGTTGATCCCACTCTCCGGGAAGGGCATTTCTGGTAGCCTTTCCAGGGAAGCTCAAATTGGCAGTCTTGTAGTTCTCTAGACCTTTCTTTGTGTTCAATTTTATCTTCAAACCAATATTGGCTCCCTCTTTTATGTTCTCTCTCTCTCTCTTTCCTGTCTTCTATTCCTAAACAGGCTCAATCTTCCTGGTTGGACGTGTTTTCCTTTCCTCCCCCTCGTTTTCTCCTACTTCTCTCTCCATTCACTGCCCCCCCACTTCCCCTCTGCTCTGGGGGACATGTCCCTTCCTGGTTCTGTGAGGGACTTTATATGAATCTCTTAGAATACAGGAGGGAGGGAGGGGAGGAGGGAGGGAGAGAAGGAGGGAGAGAGAGGGAACTGGGATTGACATACAAAATAATAAATAAAAAAATGCTTTGACTCCAAAATTTGAGTTCAAGGACAAGTTATTGGGGAAAAGGATTTCTATTTTTGTTTCCACAGAAAATGAAAAGATGTGGATTCCTTCCAGACTAATGTGGTTTGATCAAGCCAGACCGCCTGAAACAGAGTACAAGGTGATCCTACATTCAAAACAGCTGGACAAAGCAGCCTTACAGACTACAGCCAGGATTTCTGCATCTTCTTAGACTCCCCCATGACAGCGCCCCTTACCAGCAGGAAGGAGTTTGGAAAGAACGATGCCCAAATTCCCAAATATTGTCTATAAATGTTTGTTTTCATTTAAATAGACTTGGTTATATAAAATAAATAAATAAAAAAATAAAGACAAGGAAAATTATTTTGAAGAAATATAATTTGCTTAATTTACCATTTGAAATAATATTTGTTTTAAAGAAACTGTCTTTTTTGTTGGTTTGTTTTGCATAGGTAAGACAATGAGTTCTCTTGATATCCATTATTGCAATGAAGTGTTGTAGTATTTTGGACTGATAATCAAATATTTCCATTGTGTGTCATGAACACACATAGTAATAGCAAATATTCCTGATCAAGACACTGTATCAATAATAAATAAAACATTCCTGATGTAAATAAAATGGAGTCTATAAAACACTCAAAACTTCAATAATAGAATGCCATATGGCAGATTATATTCTCATGTACTTTAAATTTCTTTTCAATAGTTGCCCATCAGGGCACCCAATTACAAATGTTGATCTTGGAGAAGATGTGCCCCTTCAAATTACATGCTGGTATGTTTGTTAGGGCTATAGTGAGTGACTGAAACAACACAAGAGGACCAGATCTGACCCCTGGAAAAGCACAAAGCTCTTGTTAGCCAAGCTCCACCTCCTTGTCTCACACATTCTGTGAATGTTCATAAACATCAATGGGGAATACAAATTTAGCTCAACATTCCCTGGATTAAATGAGAGGTCTTCATCCTCCAGGCAGTATCATAATGTACATGACTCATAAACACATACTTATTGTTAGTGAAGAATCACTGAATTAAGGGACTTTAATACACTTTCCAGACTAATAGCCATCAACTGTTCCTTCAACCATGGTTTACCTAGAGAACTGTCCTAACTAGAATACATTTTTGGTCTGATTATTAATAAATTTGTGACATTATCTCTTAGTTCAGGGTTCATGAAGAAATAAAACAACCAGGAAACTGAAAGAAATGAAGGTTTGGAGTCACAGCCATTAATGATTTTAAATCATAGCTCAGTTTGTATACTTCCTACTTTAGATTTTGCCAAACTGAATCATTCCAGAAATAGGCAGATACTACATATTGTGCTAAGAGCAAAAACTTGTTTACAAAACCTTCCTCCAAACTTGAATATTTGTAGATAGAATTTTTGGCTTATAAACTGAATTCCATACCAACTTATCAGAGGGATGAAGCACGACAAAAACACACAAAGAATGGAGTGACTTACCGTATCTCGTTGCCTGGTATCTTTCCCTGATACTATGAGGAAGTAGTTCCAGGTCAGGAGTAACAATAACAATAGTGGTATCATGTAGAGCTCAAAGTTCCAGACAACAAAGAGGAAGAGCTGGAGAGAAGACAAAGGAGAAAAAACAGAGTCAACTCTGACTTTTCTTCGTGGGCTGTCACCCATACCTGCTCATTCTCACAAAGGTACATGTTCCAGAGCAGCTTTGTCTGGAAAACAAAGCCCAAAGAACTTGGTAGGCATTTTGCTAAAAGCACAACTGACCCCTAGAAATATTTTTGCTTTAATTTCTGTGAAGGAAAACTTGTAACATTACACTGTCAAAGGCTATTTTAATTTTCCTCCACCAGTGAAATTACAGTTAGATTAGACAAAATTAGGTTTTGAGTTTTTTTTTTTTTTTGTTTCATTTGTTCTGTCAATTAGTTAAAAAAGAATAAAGAAAATATGGTACATTTACACAATGGCGTACTACTCAGTGGTAAGAAACAATGATATCCTAAAATTTGCAGGCAAATGGACAGAACAAGAAAAACACATCCTGAATGTGGTAACCCAAAACCAGACATAATGCAAAAAATACCCAGTTTACAATCCACAACCCCAGAGAAGCTAGAACCCTCTTCCAGAAGCAGATGCAGAAATCCAGAACTAACCAATGGGCCAAGCTCCTGGAGTACAACTGAAGTGAGGAAAGAATGATAATATGAACAAAAGAGTCAAGACCATGATGGGGAAACCCACAGAATCAGCTAGTGAGAGATCACTGACTCAGGTCTAACAAATGGGGAACCTGAATAAGACCCAACTAGAATCCCTTAATATAGCTGACAATGGTGTGAGTGGGACAATACTTGAGGTGAATGGCGGTGGGTCCAAGATCTAACATTAATGTACAGACTGACTTAGTGGAACCCATTCTATATGGAGAGATACCTTGCCCAGCCTAGAAACAGGGGTGTGGAAGGTGGAGTGGTGCCTTGGTCTTGCCTCAAGGAGATGATGGGACAGGCTTTCTAGGGGAGGTTTTACCTGTTCTGAGGAACAGATGGAAGGAGGGGGGAGTTGGGGGTGCAGTGGAGGAGAGGGAGGGGAACTGATATTGGAATATAAAAAGTAAATCAATAGAAAAGCCCCCCCCTCCAAAAAAAGGGCTTTACTGTATTGTCAGAATAGCTTGGCCTTCAGCCTGTCTTAATCACAAAGAATGAATTTAACACCAGGGACATTCTCATCCCAAATTTCACTTGGATAATACAATATAACCAGCATAATAGCCAGGTGAAAATACCATGTCTTTGCCACAGAACCCCAAGATCGCACATTATAAGAAAAAAAAAACTGCTTCCAACAAGTGTTAGAAGAAATTAGCTTACCATTCGGTATTACACAGAGAACTAGATTTGCAAATGAACGTGAAGAGCAATTTTGTCAAAGGAAACTTTAAAATGCCCATTTGTAATTGTTTTTAGCACCTCCTATTTGAATAAACTATTTTTAATTGTAAGACAAATGTCAGAGTAGGAACTGGGGTGACCAAGGCAGCCAGTCTATACACATTTGCTTGGAAAAACAACAGGCTTTGAGACCTACATTGTGAATCTCTCACCTCTTCATCAGGGATACTCCCAGTATTCTCTGGCTCTGTAGCTCCTGCCATCAGACTAAGGTCATCTTAAATAAAGTGGGAGTGAGAGCAGAATTCCTACACCTTGATGATAAGGAGCTGTGTGGCCTTTCTATAACTTCTATATCATGTATTTTGATTTCTTCCTCTATAAATTGGGGGCAATGACTTTCATAAATGGCATAATTGATACGGTGCTCGGGATGTGGGCAAATACACACTACTGTGTCCATGCAAGTGCTTGGAAAGTTTATTAATTATTGGTTGGAAATCAGAAAATCCCCTGCCTACCAAGCTTTGGTTGAACAGTTGCATAAGTGGGAATTTCAGTCATCTGCTCAGAATAAGTTATATCTTGCATTTCATAGATTAGGAGAGTTAGGTGAAGAGACCAAATCTCAACAAGGAAGGTGGGGGATTGGGCACTTGGGCATGAATTGCCAAAGCTAGCTGTGGAGTATTGGCTACTGTTAACCGCTGGGAGATGGAGAGCCAGTTCACTCCTGTCCAGTGGAAGACCACACTCTGGGAAGCAGAAACAAGTCTTATAGGTTTTTAACCTTTTTTTCAGAATAAAAAAAGTTGAGTGAGTGGGCAGATGTATCTGGGAAGAGCTGGGGAGTGAGGGTAAACATAATCAAAACACACTATATGGTACCCTCAGAAAACTGTCAACATTTTAAATATTTTGAGAAGCATGTGTGTTTACTAGGTTTCTGATATTTGTAACTGAAATGGATGCCAGTATACATATATAATTATTTAATACATGGCAACAGTAGATTCAACTTACAGAATATGAACCATTCCAAATACCTAGGAAGAGACCCAGGAAAAAAAGTCCCATTTAACTTTTAAAATTTATATGATGTGTACAAAGATCATATGATGTATAATTGATACTAAGGATTATTAAATGTGCTTTTGTAAATATAACTCTTCTTTCAAGATGTGAACTGAGATAAATTTGACAGGCAACAACTACATATAAAGGGGAATTACTTTTGAATAAAGCCCATTAAATATTGATACAATTATTGTACCATTTGTGTAATCACCAGAATGCAAGCCTCTGGAGAACAGACACCTTCTTTTTGATAATTGCTTTACATCTGGAGCTTAGAACATGACTGAAGCAGAGTAAATACTTAGAGTAAATGGACCTAAGACTCTGCCAAACTGTTCAGCAGTTTAACTATTTGTATTAGTAAAAACACTATAGAACCTCCTGCAAACTAGCTGACTTGAGAAAATGCACCCAGAATTATGAAGTGGGATGCTTCTAGAATTTTCTCTGTTTGGTAAATATGTCCTTTAGCACTTTTCCAAGAGAGGACTCTCCTTCCATACAGTTGTCCTGTTGTGTTGCCATGGGAACCCATTCTTTTCCTTTGGCCCTTCTTATCTGCTTGCATGCTCAGAGAGCATCCTTGAGCCAGGCAATGGTGGCACAAGCCTTTAACTCCAGCACTCAGAGAGCATTCCCTCCCTTCAATGGGTTCTGCTTGCATGGATGGGGTTCAGATGATTTCATTGCTAAACATGATCCAGTGAGATAACATCACCCAGCTGAGCAGCGTTATTCTGCTTTGTCATGCCAGATCATTGATGTTAGACTGACTGCATTGCTTCTAGCATCTTTCATCACCATGGTAGTCTTTCAAAATCGCCAGTAGCTTCAAGCATTGCTAATAAGATGCACTTTGTGTATATTGTCAACTGTAAACATCATTCTCCTCTCATACCCTTAACTCATCAGTGGCTCTTTTGAAATATAGCACTCCAACCCAACCCAACCCAACATTTCTCATGCATTTGTATGGCATTTAAAGTGCCCCATGTACATAGTTAACAGAGCATGGATCAGGGGAAGAGAGGGAAAAGAGAATTCAAGGAAGAAATTATATTTGCTTTAGAGATGCTTGCAATAGATGGATCAGCTTCTTTCATAATGTCTGTGCATTAGGAAGCTGCTCCTTGTGGAACTGAGCAAGCAGCTCCTATGTTTTAAAAGAAAATGTCTTGAAAAGGAAGAAAATGGTAGAACTTTGGATTAACTCCAGATGAGTAACATTAAATTTGTCTTTTTCAACATTCAAATAATATAAAATCTCAAAAAATATCGAACATAGCTTAACAATAAAGTTTTAAAACTTTTACCAAGTATTCAGAAAGTAGGGATAAACGCTTCCCTGACTCAGGTTGCTAAGAATCAATAAGGAAAAGCAGTCATGTGCTAGAGAATTACTTGTGATCTCAGTTCTTGCTAGTCGATGAAGGTCACCTAGTCGAAAAGCCTAGAGTGGAAGAGCCCTTTTAAGCTCATTCTCTCTACATTAGAGCTTCTTCCATCCTTCGTGGGCCCACTGCACAGACTGAGCCACAGTTCTTCCTGTGAAAGCCTGAGATTATGCAAAAAGCCAAGCTTTCAGTGTCCCAGCAGGTATTAAGAAAATCTTTGCTTGTGGGAAAACACAAAGCCAAGCTAACCCTGGGTCTGTCCTTGGTCATAACTACACTTCTTCGTGGGTTTTGGAGTGGCAAAAAGCAATGCACTAATGATATGAAAGAATAAAATAAGGAATAAAAATACATCCCCTACACACACACACACACACACACACACACACACACACACACACACACACAATACAAATATAAACCATAAGGTGTTGGATGTGTCCTGACGTCACTCTACAACTGCCTTTTCCTGCATGAAATACATAAGAAGAACCTAAGAATCCTAGACTGCTTCAGTATTACACTAGGCCAAGAGGAGTTTATGCAGCATTTAATTTTATTCAATTCCATCACCTTGTAATACTTTCCATATTCTCTTCCTCCATCACCCAGTCTGTAGCTTTTCTCTCTTCCCAGATCCTCTTCCCAGTCCCTGCTTTTTAACTTGGACTTTTGGCATTTCACCATCATAGAATTCATGTCTCCATTTACACACAAAACAACAACCCTACATTAGCTATCCTTTCTCATTTGAGACTGAACATGCTTCAAGTGTTTGATTTTCTTTTTAAACTATAAGATAAATGTTGTGATTTATAACTAGAATTCCACAGTAGAGTCTTAATGAGATGCCAGTCAAAGTGGTAACAGCAATTTTGACCTCCACCAGTAGAAAGAACACTAAATCCCAGTATCGTGGGTCATACCTACAATTCTAGAATGTGGAAGGTTGAGGTAGGAGGGTCAGGAGTTGAAGGTCATCCTCAAGCTACATAGCAAGTTGGAGGCTGGCCTGAATTACATGAGAACCTACCTCAAAAATGAACACAAACAAAGTGAGAACTCTGTGCATTCCCCTGTATGTTAGAAGGATGCCAGAGACTCCCTCCTAACTGGCCTTGTGTTGTCAGCTATGATTGCCACATTCCTGGAGTAGCTGTAGTAGTGAGATGAAATGGAAAGAACATAGGTGTTCACATCAGACTCAAAGGTATTCAAGATCCCTAGACTC